TGGTGACGAGAATGGACTCAAGGCAACACAGAATCGTTCGCGTTCCCTCCAGCAATCATAGTGCAGCTGATCGGACATGAGTCCTTGATTAAAAAGAAAAGAAAGATTAAGTTAAGATCTAGTCTTCAGTGTCCGGGTTCCACCCCCCCGATCCGCCCGAAATTTGGAAGAGATGGTTGACGACAATAAATAAGACAGCACGTCAAATCCTTTATGAAACAGCCCCATTAAAAGTTAATCTCTCCCTAATCACTCGCACATGCTGTTTGAGACCAAGAGCAAGGGAGTACTGAGATTTAAAACATACAGACCAAGGCCTCGCCTAGACGATGTTTAAAAGTTAGTCCACTGACTGACAAATGGCTCCGGCTGGATCCAAACCCATGTCGGACTTGTGCAACAAATTAGGGCGACTAAAAATGGAAAAAGCAACCAGTCTTCAAGGGTGATGGAGAAAGGGGTTTGGGGTGCCTAGACATGCCGAAATTAGGGGGGAGGGGGGAGGGATAGTCAATTATGAAATCGGGGTGTAGTTAGAGGGCGTCTTTGCATTTTATTTGTCCTTCGCTGCTGTAACTTGTTGCTAACTAAGTGTGAAGCAGGTGCGTAGATTGCCTTTCCCAACCTGATCAATCTGTATTCGGAATCACAACGCAGGTTATCTTAGTCGACTTAACAGGCGTCTATCCAGGCGGACGCGAGATCGCCATCCTCTGTGGATCAATAGAGGAGCGGTAATGTCAAAAATGCAGTACGACTATGACGATTAACAGCGTCCACCGAGTTGACGTCAGTCAACTCTTATGTTAGCAGAAGCCGTTGACTCATGTCAGTCAGCTACCGTGGTACAAAGTGAACACTATACATTTCCACCAACATCATGCCGCGACGCACTACAGCGTCGAGACCCAGACATAATCCATTGACATCTTTATCCTGGTATTAAAATCGACTCACGACTAATCTGATCTACTTGTGAAAGACTCAATGGTTTCGGAGGTATTCGAAATCCGGACAGCAAGGCGAACGCTATGACCATCAGAGCTACGAGATTCCCTTGTTCCGACCCGTCAAGACATCATCGGCTCTTCCCCCATTAAGATTGCTTCTTGGTTGTTATCCACCTTTTTCAGCCCTCCCCAGAAGTTTATTTTATAGGCTCAATGCTGAATAAATGAAAATTTGTGTTTTCTCACTTCTGCTTCTTCCGTGTATAAATGGCTTCCATACGTAAGTGGCAATTTGGTTCTGCTACTAACAAATATTAAGTAATTCATTCGACCAAATTTCAAAAACTCGCGGCTTCGGTGGAATTAGAAGCCGCGACAGCAAGCGCAAGGCTAGAGTAGAGCCAAAGCTACGAGGTCTCACCAGGAGCTGCTGATTTAATCACCAACGGGGTCAAGTGAATAGTTCTAAGCTGCCAAATAACACAGCATAAATACCAATTAGGCGTTTATGCTGAAAAAACTAACTGCTAGAGGAGTGGGAACTGGTGAAATTGAAGACTGTTTTCGTCGCTTTAATAAGTTGAGTAGAATGAATGTAAGCTATTGTTCACCGAACGGCTTGCCAAATGTAATGAGTTTAGAATCCTTTTCTCCGAGTTACAAAGGGAATCAACTCATCAGTTTTGTAAGAATTTCCAAAATTTCGAGCACAAGTCTTATCCGATCGGAGTGAACATACTACTTGTTTCGGCTTCAATCTGAGACCGTGCGATCTAACGTCAGCAGTGGTACCAGTACGTACTGATGTCCCAGTGAATGGACCAAGTATACTTTTGTTATTCCTGATATACAGCAGATGCGCCATCTCATGTTTTCGACTCGAAAGAATTACTTAAGTAAAATTGTAATCAATAGATTAACATGCAACATAATCCGGCGATGTTTCAGTCACTTCGGAATGCCGGCTTTTGAAGAAATCTTTTCCCGGCTGCCTGCGAAGAACTACGCTTCGTAATAATGACATCTCAATCGGTATGAATTTGTATCGTCGATCTTCGATGGTTTTGTAAATTCAGAATATTCTGTAGAAAGCATGAGCAAAAATATTCGGCCTTGTGTCCGTGTGGTAGCGAATTACCTTTTTTCGAATTTTCGGCATTAAGGAAGAATATAATTCGGTTCTCGAGTAATTCTGAACCCGACTTGCCGTTACACTTGCCTTCAGGATTTCCAAACTACGAATGCGGAAAGTCATGCATTTCTGCACGTTACTGAGAAGATAATAGATGGGGTTCATAAAATCATACATTGAATTTGAATCACATCGTAAACTTTACAGGCGACATTAGTAAATCAAGAGACACGATATTTTATGAACGGGTATTTTACGATCTTAAAAATCTCATAACTAGGAATTTTTAAAAAACGTACTTAACTCTTCCTCTAGGCATAAAAGTTGAGCAAAATGTAATTTGCTACCAAATGAGCGAAACGAATAATAAGTTTGTACATGTCTTTTCTAAAATAATTTTAATTTTATGAGTGGGTCGAAAATAATTGAGGAGACTTTATACTACTTGAGTAGCAAAGCGCAGTTTATGCGGACGCCCGGAACGCGGTTCGTTCGAAAACCGGCATCCTGGCGTGACTAGAATATTCCTGGATTACGCTTCACGGTAACTGATGTTACAACCCTTCTTGAATATCGTTTTGAGTAAAGAAGCTAATTTCAGAATTTAAGTCAACATTTCACGGGATAGCGAAGTCGAAATCACATATCGATGTTTCATTGATCGTGACCACACTTGCCTAAAATACTGTCTTACAGAGTAGACCGAAAGACCTCCGGATAAGCCTAATCCCACTGGATTATAAAGGATCAGCTAAGAACCCCGAGGGTTCGCTTCAGTATTCCCTAGTCGGCATCCTGCCCACATGACTGCTAATGCTTTGTTGCGTACATCTTTATTAACAGTGCTGGGAAGAAACCACCAAGAAGCATGAGTATGGCAAAAAAACTATCGCGACAACTTAGCAATACCAGAGCAAAATTAGCTTAAATGTCCATGCGCAGGTTGCTCTAAATACTCCTCGTCAGTTCGGACAAAGCCTCTTAATTGTCGGTAGAAAGGAGTTTTCAACATGTCCAGTAATTGACTATTAAAAAAGCATTCCGATTGCTGTCATTGCAGATTATGTCTCAGATTTGGCGGATTAAAAAATGCTATTAATTACCTCATCACACAATGTGCAGCGCCAACGAAATGGCACCTTCATGACTCCTATCATGTGCCTTTCATGTGGCTACAGATGCTGCACGGACGACCTGGGTGTTAATATAAGGTCATACGTCGTGAAAGTTTGTCACATGTTTTTTCTCAACGTGTCAAATGGAACAAAACGAGGAGGTCCAGTGGGGAAAGAAGTTACAGGTTGTTGAACTAACTGATAGAGAGAGCGGGACTATTTTCTGCCCAAATTAGGGGGATGAATACGCAAGCACGCACGCACGCACGCACGCACGCACGAACACAAACACAAACACACACACACGCACACGAGAGTTCGGTCGTCGTGACCGACGATGTCCACCGTATGCCCCACAGCAGGTGGTGGGAGCAGGGCCGGGGGGGAGTGACTTGCGTGTGAATACGTTTATAATGGTTGCAAGCGAGCACAGCATGCACAGCACTCTCTCCTCCTCCTCCTCCTCCTCCTCCTCCTCCTCCCCCTTCTCCTCACCAACCCGCATCCCGTCTCAAGACAGGTTCAAAAAGAGAACAAATAGCTGGCTTGAAGAAAACCCGTGCCTAGGCGCACCACCACACGCAGCAGCTCGACCGTCGTTTCCAACGATGTGCGCCGTGTGCCCCGCAGCAAGGTGGACCAGCGGCGGGGACTTGCGCGTGAATTAGTATATAGTGATAGTGGACTAGCGCTGCATCTATCGCACTACCTCTTCCCATCTCCCCACCTGGACCCGGTGTCAAGACATAGTCAAGAAGACCGGAAGCCGGGGAGGGGGACCGCAGGTGGATGGCGTGGTCGAGACCGCACCTTGACGTTCCACTTCATAACACCTGGTCCACACAACAAATAATTAGCTCTTCGACCAACAACAGCAGCAGCAGCAACAACAACAACAACGTCCCAACAGAGGTCAGAAGGACGATGATGATGATGATGATGATGATGATGATGATGATGATGATGATGATGATGATGATGATGATGATGATGATGATGATGATGATTGGGCAGCCAGGTTTCCTACCTGCATCCCCAGCGGGAACGCAAGCACATCTATCGTCAGGTAACCAGGTGTCAGGGAATGGCCAGCGCATTCCAGACTGCGAGGGCCATGGTTTGCTGATACTGGCATAGCACACACACTGTCAGACCTTTTGACCGGGCCACCACAAAGTACACTGAAAAGGACATTATATCAAGAAAAAAAGGGTGACAGCCCGGATCCCACTGGGTGGGAGCGCCATGGTGCCCACATTAGGAAGAAGCCATTGCGACCTGGCTCTCAGTTCGCCAGTCGGCCACTGCACACCGGCTGGCTGCGAGATACGAGTTATCCCGGCAGTTGACAACCTTCCAAGCCACAGCCTTTTGCACACCCTGATGGATTCAAGAGCGTCAGACTGTTTACAGTGAGGACTTATATGCTGAGATCCGACCTCAAACGTTCTGCCCTAGCCGGTGCAGCAGTCGACTGTCTGAGCCGGTCAACCAATCAATGAGCTGAGAACAGCTCGTCCGCGCGTGCCGCGCATACGACCCATACCCCACATAACACACCAGAATTTCACAAAAAGAGGGTAACCTAAAGAATCAGCCGATGGACACACTTTCCACTTGCGTGGAAGTTGTGTAGTTTGTGCCTGAGATGTGATGTTGGGCGTGTTCAGGTGTGAGTTACGATTTGCTGGGCAAGTGGGGTGTGATATGGTCTAGTCAGGGGCCATTTACAGCATGTGACAGTGTGAGCTCCTCCTCCTCCTCCTCCTCCACCGCTGCTGTGGCGTCTGTCATGCCCATCAAAATTACACACAATCCTGACACATCAACAAACACCAACACCGCCACCGTCAACACCAGTGACTAGAACCGGGTCTATACATGACTTCATGGGGATCGCACTTTCATCTCACACATCGGCCTGACCGGTCACTTGCGAATCAATCGCATAGAGACTGGCACCAAGCTAAACCCATTGCACTCGTCTCCACTGTCCAAACTGTCCGCGCACTTTCGCGCATCGCATTGGCCTACTCGGCCACATGTGCATCCACGAGAGCGGAACTGACCGTAATCCCGACACACCCACCACATCCAACACACCCACTACGCCCAGACCCACCCTCACTTTGTCGCCCTGTGCGTCCACCATCACTACCTCAGTAACTGACACCGACACCACCGACTTCTCATGCCCACACTGTCCACGCACATTCACCTCACGCATCGGCCTGGTCGGTCACTTGCTAATCCATCGCACAGAGACTGGCGAACCAGTGCCTGGAGCACCAACCTACACCCGCCGCACCCACCTCCACTGTCCACACTGCCCACGAACATTCTAGTACCAGATGGGCCTATTCAGTCACATGCGCGTTCACGAAAACCTTCGGTAGACAACCGCCAGCTGTACCACACCATCACATCCTCCCTTACCAGCATCTCACCGCACATCAACATCACTCACCGCAAGCACCCAACTGCCACCTTCAACGCGAGTAGAAAGTATGCGTCTCGGCCCCTTCACAGTGCGGTTCACTAGCTGCATGTGTGATCGGGATCTGAGATGAAGACGGTGCATCGAATGCCGTGACTCGGAAGACAGCCAACTGACATCCCATCTCAGTCCACGCAGTCTGCCCAGTTGTGCGTGTGTGGTGCCCCCAAACGGGCCACGTAGTGAGTGCATTGACCAACAGGGGGGGCGTATTGGACTCTGACCGGCGTCAGTGGAGTTGCGCACCATAACAAATGCCAACATTTCAGGCTGCGGTAGCGCACCCGGTTGCCGGCATACGTTACGCGCACTGGGACCCTGCTAGCCCCCCATTGTTGTTGTGAATCAAAAACCTGACTATTTGTTGTGTGTACCAGGGGTTATGGATTGGAACGGGCTTGACCGTGCCGTCCACCTGCGCTCCCCTCCCCGCCTTGGCTCTTCTTGACTCTCTCTTACACCCGGTCCAGATGAGGGAGAAGGTGACAGTGCGGTAGATGCAGGGAAAGTCGACTATCACTATAAACTAATTCAGGCGCAAGTCACCGCCGCTGGTCCACCTTGCTGTGGGGCACACGGCGCATATCGTTGGAAACGACGGTCGAGCTGCTGCGTGTGTGTACGTGTGTATGCGTCAATACTGGGGTGAATTCTGCCGTCGTGGATACGCACATGACCAATTAGTCCTATGCGGGGAGTGAATGTGCGTTGCATGTGCGGACGGCAATGGCGGACGTGACGAGTGTGTGTCGGAATCCCGGTCACTGGCTCGCCGGTCACATTGTGATGAATTCGCAAGTGGCCGACCGGGCCGATGCGTAAAGTGAAGGTGCGATCGCAACGAAGACAGGTTGGGATGGAGTCCGCATTGCTGGTGGCTGTGAGAGTCGTGGTTCACCGGACGTCGGGAGTGTTATAATCGGTGGCAAACGTGGGAGAAGTAGTAGTCCCCGTCGTCGAGGAGGATGTGGCAGGGATGTTGAAGACAGCAGCGATCAACGACGACGGAGCATCGGGAATGTGATCACCAGTGGGTAGAAAGGTCGTCATCGTAAACGCCATGAGAGGTGACGACGGAAGTGGTCGTGGAGATAGCAGTTGAATTTGTTAGGTTCTTATTGCGCTGGTCCTGAAATGTCCGACGAGACTGATTCACGTGCGCGCGGAAAGTTTGCTGGCAGCTTGGGGATGTTGGGAGGGCATGGATTTCGGCGTTGTGGATCAGAGGTGCTTGAGAATTGCGAGCCTCTCTTTCGGTTTTGACAGAGGCCACCCGGCTGGCTTCACACACTGCTGCTCCAGTCTTCACTGCTCTTGCCCGGGCCGGTCGGCAGAAGTCCATCTGCATGACAGTGGACTTGAGACGGCGAACGACTGACGGAACATTGCACACAAATACAGCAAATAACCTTATGCGGAAGTCGTTCTACACCATAAGAGCAACCATCCAATCTCTTCAAGACAGAGTACTGTCAACAGCTTGCTTCAGCGAGCAAAAGCACTTTTTTTCCAAAGAAGAAGGCCAAGAGACATAATAAAATTACCTTTGTCGATCCATGAGAAAACAAGGGCCGAAAGAGAAGGGGCTAAATAGCCCCAAGCAGACGTCCAAAGTAAAAACTAGGAGAAGTGGAAGAGACGAAAACAAATCGATACACAATAAGTTACGCGGCGGACGCCTACTGGAAGAATCGCCGGAGACGTATTGATTTTTTGGGCACGTTTGAAATCTTGACAGTTTTTAGTACATTTACTCAATGTGACGACGACCCATAGAATCGGGGTCGAAATTATACTAATAAAGCGTTTATCTTTCCCGAAGAACATACTATCTCTAAATGTATTTATATATGTATAGGCTGAATAGCATTACCGAGAAAGAAAAGGGAGACTGAAGTGGCCATTTCTGGTTTATTAACCGCCATCAGCTGACCATACCAACACCGAAGTGTGGAACACCTGGGACTCGATCCCTCGACCTGTATATTCCCGATCGCAACCGACAGGGCAACGGGCTCATGGCTCAGTGGTTAGAGGCGTTGACTTCTAACAAACACGTCGCGAGTTCGAGCCTCGGGTGTGCCACACTTCGGGGTTGGGTATGACTGGCTGACAACGACTAATATGCCAGAAATGGTCATTCCAGTCTCCCTTGTCTTTGTCGGTAATATCATTCTGCCTATATCATGCGCCGCTGTGCGGCTGCTAGTTGGGCTCGAGAGAGAGCCCATAAGGCACAACGGAACGTGTGAGTTCCGAAAAAACGATCGATGAGCGCCCTTCTACCATTATGTGTATATATAAATGCATATCTGCATATGTTTTATTCCTGGACGACTGGAACGGCGTGCACTCAAAACCAGCTTCCTGATATGAATTAAATATCAAAAAATAATTTCGCATTATACTCAATACAACAACCAAACAGTTTTTCTACAGTTTTTTCCCGCTGGTTTGGACGGCTACGAGGTGTTCGAGTCATAATTTAGTAACCCGGCGCTCTTCACATGCCTTTGACATGTACCTCCGTTTTTTAAGCTGAGCTCTTAGTTTTCTATGATGTTAATATGCGGCGTCGGAGCAGATTTTCTGACGTAAAGCCATTCGTTTTCGGCGTGTGAGTCGCTAAGAGTGCGTGAGTTAAAGTCCATCAACTTCACCGGGCCGACTACGCAATATTCCTGCCTTTTTCAGAGGCCGTCAACTGTACATTGACGGGACGTACATCTTGAGTTAAATATAGACCTACTGGATTTTGAGTAGTTAGCGTATCCAGTCAAAGATCCTAACGAATGCTTGAATCCCACTAATGCGTACACTAAAATATTTGCTTTCAGTGATTAAACTTTCTGACAAACGCCCCATAGTTGGCGACTGCTTTTCATGGTTGTAACCACGCCTAATAACCTATTACTTGCGATCGCTGAAAGCATATATTGCGCAAGTGGCATGTTTATAAATTGGAATAAACGCCCTCGCTTTCTTCCCAGACTCTAGACTTCACAAGTCCTGCCTGATTGCGTTGCCATAATGAAGGACAGTAAACGGAACTGGAAATTAAGCTGCATAAAAGCTCAGGACGTCACCGCACCCTCCTGTTTGCGCTAGTTGGTGGCCATTTCGACGACCGGTGGGTCCGAACTTTGTTTTTTTTTTACTAAAACCAACTGAAGCTCCAACCTGAGAAGTTCAAAACCCTTACCGTAGAGGGACTTTAAGTAAAGAGAAAACACCGGAAATGAGTCAGGTGTTTTAGAGACTGGAAGCGTGCTGAAAGCGATCCCATTGGTTGCTTATGAAGCACACACACACACACAAGCTGCAGAACCTGCGCACGCGTTAGTGCACTGTTTGTTCGCGGCACAAGTCCACTGCCGCGTTGAAATCGATGCTGTTTCCCGGCAAACCCCATTCGTCGCTAATTGTTTTCTTCGGCAATTTATACTTCCCTAGATCGCCGTGACAGGCTTTGGTCAATGAATTCATATCACATCACTTCCGTCCTCCAGTTTCCATACTTCCACTGGACAGTATTCGGGCCAGAGGCAGAGGGAACGCTTGAAATTGATCTAG